CTCAGGCTGCATAAATCTTTAAAGATCCACACTTATTTAATCAAGCTGGGCAGGAAACATTCTGAGGTGTCATTCTGAAATCACCTTATAACCCACTACTTGTGGGTTCTGAGGTGTCAATGCAATAAATGCATTGATGAGAGCTGGTATCTTTGGTGTCTGCAATTCTTAATGTGCACTTTTCCATGACATGAGAAATAGGATCTGCTAGTCAGTACCAGGCCACAAGATGTTTTAAGTCTAAGTACTCGTATGTGGTAATTTTAAACTAATCGTTGCCTTTAGAGTGTGAGCAGTTATACAGGAAAAGGCAGCTTCCTAAAGTCTACTCTTTTCATTCTGCACCCTTTCACAAGATAAATATTTCAGAGACAGCATCTTTAAGATGCTTACGGTTGAACACTTTACTTTCTGTAATCACATCTCATTATTTACAAGATCTCATCCAATATATGTGGCTTGTCTCAGGTCTCCAAACCAGCAAGCGGGAAGAAAAAATCCCAACACGATCAGCCCCTGTCTTCAGGAATAGTGATCTACTCATTTTCATAGCTATTCAGTGGTACTTTTAACGTCTGCAGTACATTTACAAGTGAAATCAATAACCAGGTTGGGCAGAAGGGGTGGTCTTTTTTTGCCACCATCCTCTCCATCTCTGATAACATTTCAGATGTGTTTAAGGGCAAAAATTCCACCCCAATATATTAGTTTGGTTAATCCTTTTCGTATGATCTGTTTGCCTGGCTAGGGAATTATGCAAAAAGTAATAAAAGTTCTAATTCAATTTCCATGTTAAGAGATGGGTTTGAAAAAAAAATAAAAAATCAGAAACCATATTCTTCGTGTTTACTAAGAGATATGCACTCCAACATTTAGTGTCATGGAGCTGGAGTTAAAACCAGAAACGGTGAAGATAATTTAGCTGCATGAATGCCTGCTCTTCAGTAAAATGCTGCCAAAATTAAATAGGAATGAAACAGCACTTTGTAGTCATTGGTCGCTCAGCAGGGTTTGCGTAGTTAAAAACCTAAGTGAAAAGGGTGATTGACCTACATTGCTACTAGCTTAGCACAGCTGTACTTTCATATTTTTGCTGCATCCGAGGAAGCTCATTATTTAATACAACTGAGTTACATGTAATTGTCGGTCTTTCATTTTACACTTTTAGGGGCCAGATATGAATCTCAAATGGTGCGGCAGGCGTTGCTGTGCATCTGGAAATATCCATGGCTGCCCATTTGCACGCAAGGCTAAGAGATGGGAATGTGCATAGTTGCACCTGAAATCAGGAGGCTGCCCAGGGGTAGGAGGGCCTCACAAATATGCAGAAATCAAATGAGGAGATGGAACAGAAAGTAAACCCCTTCGCACCCCAAAGACAAACGCTCTGCTGTTTCCTTATTGTTTTGAGCAGAAGCAGCCCAGAACACACATCCAAAGCACATTTCACACAACTCGTACCTGCAGTTTAAATAAGTAATAACATTCCAGTGAGCAACCAGTCTGACATGTTAACAGCCCAAGGGCTGTTAACATAATGACCGGTCATTAATGGCAGTAATGACAGATTTCAAAGGGAGTATTGTGCTTGTAAATGGACATGCTGCCAGTCAGAAGAGCGGACAGAGCAGGATAGGCTGATACATTAAGATGTCACCATACAGCTCTGGAGGGAAAAAGAAACGGGGAAAAAAAACCAACTTCTTGCATATTTCACTTACTGTAAATGGACTTGAAATATTGGTGTAAACCTAGGTTCCTTAAATTAAGTCTTCACTTTCTAACCCAAGAGTGTATAAGCAGGAGACAGAAGCCTGCAGGGGAATTATACTCTGCATATCATTTTCACCAAGTGTGTTATTTCTAACATTGAGTCCTTTCTTTACTCAAGTCAGTTCTCATACTCGTTAACAAAACAGAGTTCATTCCTGCGGTGGCCACCCTGATACCTTTGGTGTCACACGCCACCTCTGAAACCACTGGAGCGACTTACATGAATCAGATTCCAGAGTAAAGCCTCTCACACCCAAAGCACCTTCCAAGCTCCTTACCTCATTAAAGATTTCTTCTATCCCCTCAATTCCCCCCAACCCAGAAAAAAAGGTTTTAATACAATAAAATTAACTAATTTTGCCAAAGCAGAGAGCTAAAGCAAAGCAAGTTTTGAAGTTCTGAAGATTTAGAGTATTTATAAAAATCATAAACTGTGTACCTCAGGGCTCAAATGCAGAAGAATGTGCATCAGGGAGGGTTTAGTTTTTCAGCCGGCACCTCTAAATGAAAGATACTTGACATATCTTTGCAAATAGCCAAAGACACAATCACACAGTTTGTGAATATAACTATGAATGTTAAAGCATCCAAACTGGGTACATTATTGCTTATAGCATCTGTACAACGGCTGTCTTATTGAAAGACATAACGAACACAGAGAGACAAGTTAATAAGCAATTTTACTCTTTATAGTATCGTTCAAGTCACATATCCTCTAGAGGGCACCACATAAATTAATAGGAAGCTAGAACAGTTTTACATGTAGCAAAGACTCCCTTTATGGCTAAAATTAAAAAAAGAAAAAAAAAGGAGGATAGTTTGAAACTGTAATCGAACCCTAATCTGATCATTAGTACAAAGTAATTTGTTCTTTAAATTCATATCAAGTGGGTTGCTAAATATGAAAGCTTATTTGACTACAAAGCTAGAGAACATTTAACTAGTTTTTACATTAGCATTAAAAAGATCACTTTTATAGGTTCACTGCATAACTAAGTAGATAAGACGCAATGAGGCAAATGACTATCTGCAATTACCTTAAGTGAATCAGTTTGAAGTTTAGTGTAAATACCAAGTTTAACTCTATGTGCTCACAAGTATCACTAAAAAAAGGTTCATGAAAAGATAGCTTCATTAAGACTTGACAAACCCAGGGACAAAAAAAAAAAAACAACCCCAACAAACAAACAAACAAAAGAGATTTAAAACTGATTATATGATTTTTTTTGTGTATGCTGGTTTCACTGGTGCAAAAATAAATACTGTGTATGAACAAACATCTGAAACACCAGTTTTGAATGTGGTCACGGCAGACAAAAAATAGACTCTCCTTTCTCCGAATCACTTAGTATGAATTTTAACAGTCTGTTAGCAAAACATTTACTCCTGTTACACCTTCAAAGACCAGAGAGGAACAGCATGTGTGTGTGAGCGCACGCACACACGCATCAGTGCCGGGGAAATATGCCTTGCTCATATCTCTAGTACTAGATCACTTTTGGTTTTGATTTTAAACATTTGATTTTAAAACATGGGATCTGCTGCACTAGCACTCAGGACATTTGATAAGTTCAAAGTCCCCAGTAAATTTGGAACTTGGATCAAACAGCCATAGCAGAGTTTTCTCTCTCCTGCAGGCACTTATTGTAGAAAGATCCCTAAAATGGGTTTTGAAAATTAGGATGTTACCTTCCCCCAGAAGCTGTTCCCATCCCTCCCTACAGACACACACTTTAAGATCAAAAGTTACCTAGGTTCACGTACAATAGTTCCCTTCAATTCAAACAGTTCCCTGCCAATCTTTAAAAAGTAAGGTTTTGTTACCTACTTCTTTGGCAGATTTAACACAATGGCTTTAAGATGCAGACTCTATGCTAAATTCCCAGCACTCTACCTTGCATTCATTTCAGAGTTTTAATGGGTAGCAGAGCACTTCACCACTGAGTAGTCCAAGCCCACGTCTGAAGAACCCGATCTGCCTTGCAGCCCCAGCTCAACAAACGCACAAAACGCTTGTGAAGGGTTTTGTTCCACTCTAGAAAAAGCAGGCTGTAACATGGAAAGCCAGAGTAACACTAGTTGTTAATGGTTTAGTTTTGAATCTTGTTCTGAACTACCCGTGCTGTACAACATGGGAACTGATCACTGTGTGGGAATCTCTTATTTGGTACCTGTGGTTAAACTGATCTTGTAAGTTAACACATTCAAAGAGAATTTTAATTTTTCCCCAATGTATTACTGCCTTCGATGTCCCTTTAAAAGGAAAAGGCTTCATTACAGGGGCAGAGGAAATATTCCTAGAAGTTCACATTAGCCTGGGGCAGCTAGTCTCATTAGGCCCTCTCTACAGGGAACAGATGAAAGGTGCTACTATGGGAAATAGGTGTTCTGAATTACCCCAGAGAACGCTTTTCTCTCTATTTACTGTTGAGAGCTGAGGAGACCAAAGTTCCTGATTAAACTTAGCTGCTGCAAAGTAGCCCTATTTATTTATACAATCTGCAGATAAACTAGCCTTGTGCTGCTCATCACCACATTGCTACAAGTTATACCTCAAATACAACTGAGAATGTAGCAATGAAGAAGGTAGAAAATCAGATGACTATTTGCTATCTCTGAGAAGTGGCAACAGGTTATTCAGCATTCTACCCAGGCCACTGAGTTAAATCAGGACCAGAATGAATTTCATCCTACTAGCTACATGGTTATTTAGCAGGGAGAGTTGATCATCTTGGTCCAGCTTCTAACAGCTAAATGGTAACATTCATAAGAGCTTCCAGTGTCACACATTAAATCCCTTGGCAAACTAAGAGGATGAAAGTGGGTAAGTGAAGACAAATGAAGCACCCCTAACTTACAGAGTCCAAACCCTGCACTGAAGCTGGTGAAAACCACAAGCAGTTTCAGGCTACTGTACATGGCTACTGCTGTGCTGTTAGGAGGAGGAGCAGACCACCAGCTCCGCAGGAGCGTGGTGCTGTGGAAAGCACAGATGGGGTTTAGTATCTTCCTCTGCTGAGCACAGGACCCCAGTATTAGCACCAGAAAACTGGCAACCACCTGCATGGCATGATTACTTGTCTCCATATTTCAGTATTTGTTTTCTCATCCTCCACATACACTCAGCATTACAGCCCTCAAGTACTGCTTATGCAATAGCAACTGCATAGAAAGGACAGAGCAGATTTCCCAAGTTTGTCAGTGAATGTAAGAAGGACATGGCCTACCTCAGATAGTCTCTGCGACAAAGGATAAGGTTGGCTTTGGTGTACAAGGTAGAGCCCACCTCCCCCAGGCGACAGTCACAGCAGGCACATTTCAGGCAGTCTTCATGCCAATATTTGTCCAGGGCCTTTAGAAGATACCGGTCTTTAATCTTACGGTTGCAGCCAGCACAACCTTTCGGCTTGGTGTCTGGCTGGACTGAGAGCATTTGTATACCTGAAATACAACAAGAGAAGAGTGAAAATAGATACTCTCTTAAGTACAAGTCTCACCCTTTTCTTCCTCCACCTTGCCACTGCCCCCGCACCCAGTTTGTTAAAAAGGCAGTGGTGTAGATCAGATGAAATAACCTAGATAGTCCACAGCAAGCTGAAAACAATGCTAGGATACATTTGAGAGCAGAAACTTCCACTGCTCTAAGTTCCACAGCTTCTCTTTAACACTTCATTTACCTGGTCTCTTTGCTGAAAAGAAATAGGATTAAAAATTAAAATTGAGAAATTAAAACAGTTCAGTTGAAAAGTCATCCATTTTCACCCAAAGTACGCAATATTTAGCAACCAAAATTTTAAATAAATATGATGGCAAACATAGCGAAATTTACATATTTGGACCTATTTGCACTATATAAAGTATGAAAGCACTCCAGATTCTAAAGAAGAGAAAACTGAAGCTGTTAGAGGCACAGGACCAGACTTTCAGGGAGGTTTGATGCAGACATTTTGGTGCTGGTGGGGGAATGTTAAGTTTTTTAAGATTTCAGTCCTTGTTAGAACACATGAATGAAGCAGTCAGAACTCCAGAGACTTCAATACCAGCATCTCCAGTTACAAACTGCAGTGCAAGGACCTTCTGAAAGATCTACAAGGTCAGAGAGTTGCCAGTTTGTCAAATACAAAAACACGAAACAACAAACAAAACCAAAACCACCACCCCACAGTCCCAACTCCCTCCATATCGACAAAATACAAAAACCCCTGCCCCACTTTCCAATCCCTATTTTAGACAACAGCTAGTTCAGGACAAGGAGTACAGTAGTGTCCATTAAGTGCATATATATACACCTTTAGATATAATAGCAGAGAGCATTTAAATAACAATTCAAATGCCTGAACCACAGTTTAAGGGAGGGAACTGGTTAAAGTGGAACACAATTGAGCATTGGTACGTGGAGCACTGCAGCCAGCTTCCAGAGATCCATACAAAAATCAATTGCCCTCAGTTTTACAGTAAATGGGGAGAGAAGGTCACTGCCTCAAAGTGCTTACAGACTGGTCTCTCTAGGTTAATCCCATGAACTGCCATCCCATTACACTCAGACCAATTCTCTGAAAGCCATTCCTTAGAATAAACAAAATCATAGCCCTGTGGATGCTTTGTTGGGCATCAAACAGGCACCAGAGAGGAAGAGAGAACTGACACACTGTTAGGCTAGCTCGCTGTTTGAAAGACAATCAGAGATGTAACTTGAAAAAAAATGTTACTCATTAAAGTGCATTTGGATATTACGATGACATTTGCCAAGACTGGGGAACGAATGCTGTGGCCAACAAGCAAATCCTACCCCAAAATTCAGGGTACAGCACCCTGTTATTATTCAGACTGTGAAAGGTCAAACAGAGTCTTGTAACAAAGAAAAAGAAATTCAAGAGCTCCTCATTAAGAATGCTCTAATACCTACTGGTAAGAACGCTTTACAGTCCCAGCTTCTATCAGCAGATCTCGGTTGGTGCTGTAACACACTACTACAGACAGGCAGGCTCAAGGAACTAGAATATGAACAAGTTGGAGTTTGGGGGTTTGTTTGTTTGGTTGGTTTGTTTTTTAAAGCAAGGAAATACACAAATAAGGAAAACACAAAAATTAGTGTAATCTTTAAGGCAATAGAACAGTGTGTCTTTACGGATATTGGCACTACAAAGACAAGAAGCTAAATGCTACACTGGCTAAGGCATCCCAGGGTTCTGTGTGCATATGCGTTCATGGAACACACGGAATTTATGTGGACCACAGCAACCACAGCGCCAGTGAAGTGACTTTCCACGGTTACCAAGATGAACTCCCAAACTTCACCTGCAAAGCTGATCGCTGAATTAGAAATAGTAATTCTTATTGTGACATATGAGAACAACAGCCTTGCTCCCTGTTTTGCAATATGCCCTATTGCGCATTTTGGAGTGATATATTTACCTGTTAAATTAGCCGTTCAGTTATATGCCGACAGTTACATGCTGACAGTTCTCCTAGTGGGCACGCCGAGGTACCACAGCAGTACTGCTGCACAGTGTCGAAAGCTCATAACAAAAGTGTAAGGTCTGTGTTTTTCTATCTGTAAGTATAAAAAATTACACTGCTGCCTTCCTGTTCCTCCCCAGTCAATGCTACTCTCATAGCTACTACACCACGTACAGACTCAAGATGTGCTTGTTCACAGGGGGGTGGATGAGGTCCAGCAACCTGCATAGGATTCTGCAGTAAGTGTGTGGCAGATCTGGGAAAGAACACGCACTTCTCATCTTGAGCAAGCACCATGAGACAAACGCTGAGCCTTTGCGGTATTTTCAGTTGCCAACTATCACCCTTAAATCCAGGGTACATACATGAAGCAGCAAAATAACATGGCTACAAATAAATTACTAAATTCAGTGAAAATATGAGAGATTTTTGGTAAAGGACCTACACAAGACTGTAAAGGGAAGTCCTGCTGGAACTCTAATAGCTTTGCTAGGTCAAAAAGCCGTAATCTGTAAAGCTGCATATCATCGTAGAGTATAAATATCTTCTAAGTGACAAGAAGAAGCTTATTCCCAGCCCCTCTCTTTGGCCATGTAGAGGACAAATGAATAAAATTGGCCACAATTTGTATCAAATTCTTGGAACTCAGTGAAAAAGTTCAGAAGCAAGAAGGGCTGTTCTAGGACTTTAATCTTTAGCTCGAGGGAAACCAGGATAAACTAGGAGCTAACACAGTTAAAGGCTTTAAAGAAAAAAATCTTAATGTAAAAATTTTGTCGCCTGATAAGGAAGCAGGTTAGAGAATGGAGGCTGACAGCCTCTGATCCAGGCTGATCTACTGTCCTGCGCCATCTGAAGGGAACAAGATGCCGCAGAAACATGGCTAAACAAGTGAGCATCTGAACAAATTGCAATAATCAAGCCTGATAATTCCTGAGGTATATGCTGCGAACATAAGGTTATTGTATTAGAAATAAGACCACAGCTTGCACAATTTGCACATACCGCTGCACAGCTTTTGAGACGTCTTCTACTGATGACAAAAGTAGACAGAGCACTGTCATTCATGCTGGTTAGCCCAAACCTTCTTGTAGAGACAAGTGAAAAGAGGCAGACACACTATAAAGGTAGTGTTAACAACCCCGCACATCTATTTTCCTAAGGCTGAGAGAGAAGGTAGTGCTGACATCCCACCAGCAGCATCTTCAGATTATGGATTCAATCTGCAGAAGCTTTTGGAAGAAAGCTTTTTTCCTCTGATAGATCTGATCTTTTGCACTTTACTTGCAATGAAGCTGCTTCTATTTTAATGAAAGTTAAAAACCAAAAACCAAAAAAATCAAAAAAAATCCCCAAACTACTGCTTCTTTATAAAGAAAAAGTTACTTTTTTTTTGAAGAGTAGTAAGGTTCTAAACAAAACAAAGCACAAAACAGGGCTCTAAGAAGTGTTTTATATATCTCCAAATTCTTTGTACATGCACTTTTCTTTACACGCCCTGGATTAAATAACTTAATTTTGAAAACAGAACATTTTGTTACTTTTTTCTGTATTGTATGAGCCACCTTAACGCAGATCACCTCACCGACCATCTCTCTCCCCTTTAATGTTCCAGTAAGATCTCCAACACAGTTCCACTTTTTAGATACTTGCTTGTGTATTTTTAGTTCTCTCTTAATTTGGCAGTAAGAATACCTGCATCTTGCTGTCAGCCAGTTTTTCGCAGGCTGCAGTTGAGGTACCCATTTATTTCTTAGGACTCAGGAAGGACCATTTTAGAGTCTGACAGCATCCACAAAACCATTCAAACTCCTCACTGCTGAAATATCAGGTAGCGGCGCACAGCACTACTCAGCTGCCTGGCTGCCCTCCTCTCCCCCGGGAAAGCAGAGCTTATGGAGCACTTCCAAGAAAACCCCATACAATAAGTGCTACACTCAGTCTGTTAAATAAATAAATAAAATCAAACCCAGTTTTCCCTTCAGTCATGCAGAGTCCTACCCATGCTCTGCATCACAGAGCATATCTGTTCTCAGAACTGAGAGATTCCAGTGCCTAGTCTGTCACTGTCAAACAAACTCTTTTTATTTCACCCCAATATGCTTTCAAGGGCTTTCTCTATCCTTCCCTCCATTCCTTCCCTTCACCCCAGTCCCCAAGACACTACACATAAACTGCAGAGCTATTCAGGAATCAGACTTCTTCATCACCATTCACCACCCTTAGGATTTTTGAAGGAGAACTTAATAACCTGCTTTGCAGGTTTTTGAATTTCCCTCGGTCTCCCCAGATAAGTTCAATGCCACTGACTCCCATCCCTGGTTATTGTTATTATCGTGTGATGAAACATTATCAACTGATTTGTAACTACGATTTCTGGATAAAGAGGAAGATTGCTGGAAAAAGCTAAATTAGGCTCCTGGAGGAAGGCAGAGAAACAAAAATCCATCTCACTCCAATCATCACCCTTCTCAAAAATCAAAGGGAATGAATATTTGACATAATGAACTGTATTTTGTTAGTGATTTAGAAGCATCTGTAAGCAGAATTGGCCCCTGACGATGCTGAGTGCAGCACACACAAAACCCATGGAACTCAGTTTCTGGTTTGTGGAACAGACAGTCTTCAAAAGGCATGTTAAGAGAGAAAGAGGTGGATATTATTATGTGCTGTATCACTCAGAAACTTTTAAAGACCGCTGTCCCCACACTCCTTTGCAGAGGCACGCACACAGTTCTACCCAGGACAGTAGTATGTACAGCATACATACAGTACATACAGTAGTATGTATTGACTCTACTTAAAAAACAAAACAAAAACAAAAAACAATTTAAGAAATCAGTTTGGAGCAGATTAAGTATCAGTGCACTGAATTTCAAAAGACAGCTTACTGACAATATGCAGTCAACAAGAGAGTTAGAGATCTAGTAGAAGATATAAAGAATACTTTCCCGATGCCTTCCCACTTTGTAGCTTC